ACAATGATTGGAGCTCTTTGTTTCAACTGCGTACAGTAAATATGGCTGAAAAAATAGACAAAAAATTTTGTACCATGAACGTCACTACTTTAAAAAAATATCTACAAGAACGCGGGATTACAGCAAATGGATATCTAAAACCAGCTTTAGTTGAGATCGCTTGTGCAGTAGAAAAAATTATGTTGCCTATTGACCCTAATTTTCAGCGTGATGATATTGCCAAGAATGTGCAAAATCGTTTAATAATTCATGATGTTAGGATTGCTGATTCATTTACTGTAAAGACTCAAGACGATTTTATTAACTGTCCACCATTCGGACTTTATGACATATTTAATCACCTAATATACCACTCTTCGGACTACAATAAACAAGGCCTTGCTGCCCATAAGTCGTTCAAAGACTATTGATTATACGAGGACGGTTATGTTCGTTCTTTGGAAACCACATTAATACAAGAAGCGGGAGTTCATGTAATGGTTGGAAAAGTTCAACCAACAATGCGAGGGAAAACGAATGACGGTAAAGACTTATAAGATCTATGGTTTATTCTTGAAGGACGGGCCCCAACAAAGACAGTGTAATCGATGCTTATTGCAAATGCAAAGGCGGACGCGATGGAGGATGTAAGCACATCGCATCTGCGATGTATTCCCTTGAAGCTCTTTTAAATAGTAGAGGTGAAGAAAGTGTAACCAGCGGTAGTTGCCAGTGGAAACCCAAACCAAAATCCAATAGTGAACCTTGTGAAATTAGGAAGTGAAAATTGTAAAAATTAATCCTCCCTCAAAAAAGAAGAAAAAGAGAAAATACACGTGGCTTCAGAACATTGATTTTGACCCACGATACGCACAAGACAGAAATACCAAGTCGAAGAAGAGTATTTTGACATTTACAAAATCATTGAGCACTGTTGATTCGCAGAAGGCGGAGACTAAAGGCACTCCTGTCATCTTACCACTTCTACAAAAGTTGCATATGTCGGATGTAACCTTACAAGACCAAACCAGTGAAACCTTGTGTCAACATATCAAAAATGTGACATTAAGCAAACACCAAGGAATCATGCAAGAGAAGGTTGATGAATTCTTCAAGAAAAACAAAGAAAGAACAACAGAGAAATTTAGAGAAACACTTTTGTTTACAGATGGTGAAATTGAGGAGATTGATAAAACTACCATGTCACAGTGGAAATGTCAAGAATGGTATAAATAGAAAGTTGGATTTATTTCTGCATCTAAATGTAAAGAAGTTGTTACCAGACAAAAAACACTTGACAAAAACATTGACAAACCAGTTACTAGACTGGCCAAGTCGATTACTACCTGTCACTATGATGAAAACTTGTCAATGAGCCCACTTAATAAGGAGCCACAGAATCCAAGGGATTGGGGACTGAAGAATGAGAGTTCTGCAAGGGAGTCTTACCTTCGTACCCAAAATCACTTGCATCACAAAGTTAAATTGACCAGCAGAGGTTTTGTGATTTCAAAGACCAAGCCATTCATGGGAGCAAGTGTGGATGATATACGAAGCTGTGAATGTGTTGACAGGTGCAAGGAAGTCATTGTGTTTTTTAAAAAATTACAATGTCAATGAGCATGCATGTTTTTATATTGCAGAGATGGAAATTGAACATCCTCATGTGAAAGACAACTCAATTCTCAGTGAACCGTATACTGTAGTTGAGGAAATAACCACTACTCTTGTTGATGACATACCAAGTTTTACAGCATATGATGTTAGTATTTCTGCTGACGTTATTGCATCATTAGCTTCAGGAAAAATGATAAATGACAACATGATTACTGTATTTTTGAGGTACATGACAATTATGTTAATTTATAATAATTAAAAAAGCCCACTTCTATATTTTTATTTATCATTTTTTAATTAATTAGGGAACAACCATTTTAGTTTCCAATAGTTGATTGTCTATTTTACTCTGTGCTGTCTGGTGAACAAGATAGAACATAGACCTCATCTAGGTACAGTATACAGCAATATTCACAAATTTTTTCAACAATGCATAAATTGTTTAAATAGGCTCGCTTAACAGTTACCATTTTTAGAGCAAGCAAATTAAAAGCTGCTGAGGGTTTTTTAAAAAAAGAACATTATGATAAGGAGTATGTGGTTTTACCGATTGTGAGAAGGTAGTCTAATTATATCATGATGAAAAATAGATTTCATGCCTATAATTACTGGTAACAGACAAGATTAAGTAATAATTAATTGCTGCTTCCCCTTAGGGAAGCAGCACACTATTCTTGACGTAACATGAAGTTTCACAAGAGTTCTCTCGACCCAGTTTTTTGCCCAAGTTATGTATCGTTCAAGATTTCAATTTTGTCTGTCCGGTTGTCCGCAAAGATGTCGTATTTACGGGGGCCCGTAAGAATATTTCAGGGGGGGATGACAACATACACAATATATTTTTCTCAGCGCGCATATTAATAATTAATTCCGAATTTCCATGTGGTTGTCTGGTTGATATACGATAGCTTTTAAAGCGTAGATTTTCATCGAAAGCAATGTCTTTATTTTTGTCTGCGGATTATGATCAAGGCAATGAACGTTTCAGTGTTCATTCAAGAGGTAAGCAATGTGCTTTTATGAGTTTAACGGCGCTTCTTACAGCCCGAAATATTCCTATCTCTGCATGGTCGAAGACCACGTTCAATAATGTCTTGTTAGAAGGAGACAGGTTGTATTCAAAAGCTCTAAATTCTGGCTTTGTAGTCTTAGGATCAGGTGTTGATTTTTTATCTGTAGAGAATTTACCTACTGTTATATGTGCCACATCTTATACAGGCATGTTAAATGACTTTTCACACAAAATATGTAAATCAATCGCTGATATTGACACACAAGCACAGGAACAAGAAATCATTGATTCACCCATTGTGGTGAAGCCCGTTGAGGCACAAAATACCATTAATTCACCCATTGTGGTGAAGCCCGTTGAGGCACAAAATACCATTAATTCACCCATTGTGGTGAAGCCCGTTAAGGCACAAAATACCATTGATTCACCTATTTGTGGTGAAGCCCGTTGAGGCACAAGATACCATTGATTCGCCCATTGTGGTGAAGCCTGTAGAGGCAGAAAGTATCATTGATTTGCCTATTGAGGTTAAGGCTGTAGAGGCAGAAAGTATCATTGATTCACCTATTGTGGTGAAGCCTGTTGAGGCACATGATACCCTTAATTCACCCATTGTGGTGAAGCACATTGAGACACAAGATACCATTGATTTCCCCATTGTGGTGAAGCTTGTAGAGGCAGAAAGTATCATTGATTTGCCCATAGTGTTGAAGGCCAAGGCAAAAAATAACACAAAAAATATAAATCATTTTTGGTATATAAATTATGGACAAGAACTTCAAGGTCTTGTTATAACAGATCAGGACATTGAGGCACATTACTATGATATTCACACAGCACTTGTGGATACTTTTTTAAATAGCCCTTATGCTATTTTAATATTAGAAGGATATATGATGGCCTTAGTAAAGCACACAAATGATTTCTATCTTTTTGACTCACATGCCAGAGACTCAAGTGGCATTCCTAATCCTAATGGCACAGCTGTTGTCATGACGTTTACCAACATTTTAGAGTTGGAGCACTATTTGAGCACTATTTGTCAATAGAACTACATACAAATACATTTGAAATTGTACCTGTGCAACTAAATCAATGCAAAGTTTCAAGCCGACAAGAAAAATGTATAAAAGATCAAATATACCAAAGACAAAGACGTTCATTAGAAAGTGAAAGTGATAAGCAAACAAGAATTAATAAAGCTAGTGAATATAAAAAGAGAAAGCAATCAGAGAAAACCGATAGTGAGAGACAAGTTAGACATAAAAGACAACATGAGTCTCAAAATAAAAAACAGTCAGAAGAAAGTTACAGTGAACAAAAAAGAAGACTTCAAAAAGAATGCGAATCTAGAAAATAAAAAAACGCTCAGAGGAAAGTGACATTGAGAGGCAAAGTAGACTTCAAAAGCAATGTAAGTCTAGAAAGAGAAAATGCTCAGAGGAAACTGAAAGTGAGCGACAAAGTAGACTTCAAAAAGAACATGAATCTAAAAAGAGAAAGCGGTCAAAAGAAACTGACAGTGAGAGACAAAGTAGGCTTGACAAAGATAGGCTGTCTAAAAAACAAAAACGGGCAAAACAAGCTTTACAGGAAATAAGCCAGAAGGATTACTTAAATTCTTTTGACATAACCTATAATGGTGGTATTGAAGAGCAATCTTGGGCAAAGTCTAACATTGATAAGTTTCAGAGGTCTTTGCAATATCATGTTAGTCAATGTACAGTGTGCCAGGAAGCCTGGCCTCTTAAAACTAAACCAAGAGCACCCTATGTGTGTTCACAATGCTCAAGAGATAAAAAGTGGCTCAAAAAATTTTCATCTGAAAACTTAATGATACCTTCATGTGTTCCAAATGAACTAAAAGGTTTAACTCAGGTTGAGGAGATGTTAATTGCTCGTGCTCTGCCTATCATGCGAGTTTATGTTAAAACTGGTGGTCGACAGTGGCGTAGCCAGCCCGACAATTTAGTCATGCTATGCTAATATTTTGGTGTTTATTGACTGTGAAAACAATGAATTTCTAAAGAAATGAATAATGATAATAACCTAAAATTTGCATAGCATGACTAAATCGTCAGGCTGGCTACGCCACTGGAAACTTCAGAGCATTGTATTAACTTACCACAAAATGTCACAGAGCTTGCATCATTGTTACCAAGATACCCCAAAGATTTGGCTGTCATTATTGTCAAGGTAAAAGGCAAAGAAAACACATTCAAAGATGTGAGAGTGCGAAAACAAAAAGTGCACAATGCCTTGATTTGGCTTATTAATAATAACCCTCAATATTCTAATTTAATAATTAATGAAGATGCATTAACTTCATTACCTGAGAATGGTGTGCCATCTGATCTTATGACTGTTGAGACTGATGATAATATAGCCTCAGATGATAGTAGGACCTTCTACTGATAACCCAGAAGATATTGTGTACAATAACAGTACAGAAAGGAGCACTTTCTTACCTCTAGGTGAACAACAGCAACGGGAGATTGAAGCTATGAAAAATCAACTGTCTGATAATGAGCCGATTGAATGGCCTTCAATTGAAAATGAACCACTGAATGAGTATAACATATCACATTTGGCCACTATGGCTTTCCCCACTTTATTTCCTGATGGGAAAGGTGACCCTACCAATCAAGAACTCTTAAGAGATGTTCCTCTTCCAGAGCAAATAAAACATCTTTTAAAATTTGCGGAAATTATTGAAGGCCAATGGGTATATCGTTTTGCAAACCACCCCAGATTTTCATATTGGGCTTTTAACATGATTCAAAGAAAGCGAATCTTACAGCAAAGTGGAATTTTCCTTAAGCAAAACCCAGGTGAAGCACATCTCACCATTGATGAACTACAAGAAATGGCTACCACCAACAATGCAAATGCGTTTATGTCTAAAGTGTCTAGATATGTTGGCAATATTGCTGGTACAAATGCTTACTGGAATAGAGTAAGGGAGGAACTCAAGGCTATTATAACTAATGTTGGTACTCCAACATTGTTTTTTACTTTTTCTTCTGCAGATATGCATTCGCCAGAGCTACATGATTTATTCAAAACTGATGCTGATAGTCAGATTAGTAATTCTACCAATCAAGAAAGACGACAAAATGTTATTAACAACCCCCATATTGTAGACTGGTTTTTTATGCAAAGATTAAAAAGCTTTGTGAAACACTGGCTTTATGATACACTTGGTGCAAAATGGCACTGGTTCGGATATGAATATCAAGGTAGAGGTAGTATCCATTGTCATGGCACTGCTAAACTGACTAATGATCCAGATTTGTGTAAACTAACTGAGACTGCCTTAAAAGGTTTCCTTGCCCAAAAATTTAAAAATGAGAATGAGTGTCCTGACACAACAGAATTAGACCAGGATATTGAAGCTGGCCAGAAAGCAGCTGATACTGTATGTCAGTATGTTGATTGGTTGTTGTCAACTGTCAATCCTAATTCACCAGATAAAGACATGTGGGTAAGACCTGAAGTACATCCATGTCAAAGAAGTCATCGAGATATTCCTGAACATGAAAAACAGTCAGATTATGTAGATCTGTTAAATATGGCTCAACGACACACACGTTGTAGTACAAGCTACTGTCTTAGAAAAAAGTCAAATGAAACAGAATTGAAATGTAGATTTCATTTCCCTTTTGATAATTGTCGTAAGACAAAATTAGAATTTGAAAAAATTCACAGTTCAGGTGATAATGAGCATTATAGAGCTAAGATTGTGACTAAACGAAATTACTCTAGGTTAAATAACCACCAACATCTACAACTCCAAGGATGGAGAGCTAACTGTGATATTCAAGTTGTTATTGATCACTATGCTTGCGTTGAGTATCTCACAAAATATGCAGCTAAAGGTGAACCAAGGTCACCTTTATTGAAACAGGCATTTAACTCTATTGTGCAAAATGTTGACAGTAAGACTGACCCTCGCAGAGCTATTAAGAAAGTAGTTATGAAATCTCTTGGTGAACGAGATTATGCTGCTCAGGAGACAATGCATCATTTGTTGTCTTTAAAACTTCATAGCTCATCATTTAAAGTGATACAAGTTAGTTTAAATGGTTCACATAAAGTACGTGACACTGCAAGTCTTCAAGAGGGTGAATCGTGCACTGATTACTCACTTCTCGATGTGTATGCTAATCGTGAGCAATATGACAGTTCACAAAATTTCATGGATATGAATTTTGTTCAATTTGCTACAACGTATAAAGTTGTTAACAATGAACTTTCGAAATTGCCAGAGAATGTTATACCGAGAATTTTTCCAACTTATTCTCCTAATCCCAAAGGTCCAAATTTTGGACTATATTGTAAATATCAACTTCTAAGGTACAAACCTTGGAGAACAACCCAAAACAATGCGTGGGGTGACCAAGAATCGACTGACGAAGTTCTAATCAATTCTTGGCAAGAATTCTTGCAAACACCTTATGGACAATCTAATGTCCCAGACTGGCTTGACAAATTACAAGCTGTCATCCAAAGTCAAGAATCAGAAGATGAACCATCTGAAGAACAGGAGTCAACTTGAGAAGAGTGGATGATATTATCAGATCTTCACATTCCTTTTGACAACACTAAACAAACATCAGAGTCAACATGTGACTGGCAACTTGATAGAAGCAATTACTCCAAACAACAAATCCATGAAATGCCAACATGGATAAAAACAAACAAAGACGAATACAATATTGATGAGCAATATGATGTTGTTGACATAAACAGTTTTAGTGAAATGCAAAAACTTGCATTTGACATTGTTAAGTCTCATTTTGATGATACATCATCTGAAAAAGAGCCATTATGTCTAATTATAAATGGTGTAGCAGGTGTTACCTTATTAATGCTCTTAAGAATCTTTTGCAAAGTAGGTGTTCTATAACTGCTACTACTGGTAAAGCAGCTTATAACATTAAAGGTGTAACTGTGCACTCCCTGTTAAAGTTACCTATAGGGTCAAGAGGTAATAAAGACCTAACCGGACAAAGCTTGTCTAGATTAAAGGAGAGCGTTAATAACATTGAATATATGATTATTGATGAATACTCCATGCTTGGCCAAGTTACTTTTGGTTGGATAAGCGTTGCAAACAAGCAACTGGTTATAATGACAAAGTGTTTGATTTTAACTGGTGATCCAGGTCAATTGCCACCAGTAGCAGATAAACCTCTTTATCATGCCAAACCATCAAATGCTGTTGGGGAACAAGGTTATCAAGCATACCATATGTTTGACAAAGTTGTTAAGCTCACTGTAAATCAACGTGTACAAGGCATGACATCAGAACAAATACAGTTCAGAGATTTGTTGTTACGACTTCGCAAAGGCGAGTCAACAGTCGATGACTGGAAATTACTTCTGACACGCCAACCATCGAGTGTCATTAATTTATGCGAATTTGCAGATGCCACTAGACTCTTCTATAGTAATGAACAAGTTGCAAATTACAATAATGAACAGATAACAAAACTCAAATATCCAATTGCTCATATTAATGCTCTCCATTCCTCTCCATTGGCCAAAAAGATATCCTCAGATGATATGTCTGGGTTAGAGCCTGTTGTATTTCTAGCAAAAGGTGCCAGAGTCATATTAACCATGAATTTGTGGTCAAATGTTGGCCTTTGTAATCGCGCTACTGGAATTGTTGTTGATATTGTCTATCAGAATAACCATCAACCACCTGACTTGCCTATTGCCGTCATCATTGAGTTTGAGAACTATAGAGGTCCCGCTTTTAATGTGGACAAACCATCTTGCATTCCAATATATCCAATCACGGTCTCATCACAGTCAGAAACAGGTTTTCATGAGCGGCAACAGTTGCCTCTAAGACTCGCCTGGGCTCTAACAATACACAAGAGCCAAGGACTGACTCTTCCAAAAGCTTGGATAGATATTGGTAAATCAGAAAGAACTGCTGGAGTTTCCTACGTTGCCATAAGCAGAGTTAAGTCGCTTTCATCTTGCGTCATTGAACCCATGACGTATGAATGATTAACAAGCTTAAAATCATCAGCCAATTTACAATACAGGCTTCAGGAAGAAAATCGCCTACATCGTTTAGCACAGACTACCACGTGCAATTTAAATTGACAAACCAGAGAGTTACACATGGGGTTTTGATATAGAACCCTTACACTTTATTTTTAATTTAACCTTAATAATTTTGTATCTTACATTATTAACGTATTATTTAAACAATATCACATTTATTGTCACTGTATGTATGAGCATGTGAACATGAAAACGTTATATGGTAAGCTTATTTTATTTTTCTCTACTTGAAACTTCTCTACTTCAACTCTCTCTTTACTATTCATGATTGGGCTTGGGGTATGGTAATGTATTCGTAAGAAATATATTCTTTTTTTCGTAGATTCCTACACTTCTGGCTAAAAATATAAGAAACCTACTGAATTACGAAACACAGCTGTACCGGCATTAGTGGACTCTGACTTTCCCAAAAACATAGATTCCTTCTTGTCAGTAAAAATATGAAAAAGCAACTGGATTACAAGGCACAGCTGTGGCATTACTCAACAATGGTTTCCCCCCAAAATATTAGAATATATCATTCAAAGAGGCTAATGTACAGTACACAATTAAACAATGTGAATCTTCAAAACAAGTATGATGTGCATTGGACCTTCGAAAATTGTTTGTGCAGAAAAGTGAAGAAACAATATTTCCCGCAAAGAAGTATATATTAATCGTACAGGAAGAGACGTATCGCAGACATGTTCGATATCCTAAATTCACTCAGCATCATGGTAGTTTCAAAGAACATTTAATTTGTTATTGACAGTGTTCTAACAGAAATGTATTCAGCAAGAGAGTTGCCGTATGCAATATTATTGCTACCCAGACTGGAAAATTGGGCAATCCCGCCCCCGATCTTTTTTTTGGGACAACTTTTTGCGCCCCTGGATGTCTTCTAAATTGTTTTTTTTGCGCCCGTGGCATGTAGAATATTAATGGATAAATAACAGTATAACACCAACTCACCAAGGCCCAAGGGGCAAGGGCCGGTGTGGACAAAGCCCAAATGCTTAATGCTGTGATTTTTAATTAAACAATAAATGTATAAACATTTTTAACAACATAACATTGAAAATTGCAGTAGTTATTGAAACAAATGTTCTTTCTTGCTGGTGGACTTTAATAGTTATATAGTTCTGTTGCTCTACAGTTCTATTGAATTGATCATCAGTTCATCACGAACAAATGAACAATTACCAGTCCGCTTTAACAATGTGGGGGCATTTTGGTGGTTCCATCCTCAACCTGTCGACCACTTGACTGACATTGTATCGCCTTGCTGCTCTTCTCCTCTCATCTGAAAAAAGTGGCATCTGATGTTTTGCAAGACCAAGTTTCTTGCTTCCCTCTGTGTAGAGCTGACCTATTTCTTCCATAGTCTTCGGACAAGTAAGAGGGTCCGGCAAACTCCAATCAACGACAGCCCTCTTCACCAGCATCTCATTGCTTTGCCCGCCAGCCTTCTTATGTGCCTTTACCAAGCTGTAAAACCCCTCTACTACAGCTTCGCAACCTCCAGCTGCCAAAGCAACATCCAACACAATGCACGCTTCAGGCCCAAGCGATTCGTAAATGCATGCATTTCTGTAAAATGATGCAACCAAATTATCTTCACACAACCGTGCCTCAACAAAAACACCAGATTCGAAGTCAATTTTAAACCACAAATCCAATGAGCAGTTAGTATCCAACTCAGACAACGTTGTCATTCTGCTATTTTGGAATTCGCTAACAAGATTACCGTTACGACCAACGAATAGTTCTTCAATGCAGTTGCCCAACCCTGTCCAAAAAATCTTCTGTAAAGTTGTCTTGAATCTCTTCAGTACCGCATTGCTATCTGTTGGCAAAAGATCCAAATCGTGATTTGCGTCGGCAAGAGCTTGGACATGTGGCAAAGCGCAGACACGTTTGAAGAACTCGTGGAACTCACTGTTACCGCTTGTTTCCCATTGGATTCGGTCGTCACGCTCGATAACTAGCTTTCCGTCCTCAACTTTGTAATTGCACATCTGTTTTGCGATCTCCTCGAAATCAAAGACCTTACACAGCTTCTTGACTGAAGTGGGTACAATGTTTGTGAACCGATCTTGAAGACCAACCTGAAGATCTTTACAAAGCGTGATTAGATCTTTAATGCAGTCTTGCGGAGACCGAGCATTCCAGGTATAAGTGGTCTGCTTCTTGCCGTCTATCATCTCAGTGGTTTGGCTAACGACTAACCAGCCAGCTAAAACTGGGGTACCCTAAAGCGAATGATCAAAACTGCAATTGTACTGTAGCTGAAGTAGGCATGATATAGGCATGATACATTACACATATGAAAAAAAACCATTGCAAATGAAATTTCCCAATTTCGGTAAATTAGTTTTTCATATTTTTTCATAGTATAATTACCTGAAAGGTACCATAATCCACTCCATCTCCATCATCATCATCAAAACCGGTGGGTGGAGTCAATTCCTCCCAGTGCTTAGAAAGCTTCGGCAACTTCTCTTCAGACGGTTTTGCTCCTGCATCCACCGCTTCAAGGTTTGTTTCCATCTCCTTCAGGATCTTGATCAGTCTCGAAAACCACGTGACAATCTTCCAAGGTGGAAGGTTTACAGCTTGAGTTCTTAGCATCAGTGATATCACAGGCTCTAGAATATCCAATGTTCCGCAAAGATCAATAGCGTAGTCCTGTCCACGAACCTAAATCACAGCAAAGTGAAATGAGATTCAATTTTGCCGTCATTTTACCGCGTGGCGCATGTTATGTAAATTGGATCATGGCATAAGCTTTACAACTCGTTAACATAGCGCTCACCTGGTATTTGGTTTCTTCTTCCGCATCATCTTCATTTTCCCGACATCTTCTAAAGGCTTCAATTAATGCTTTATAGCTACAGTAGATTTTGTCCCACTGCTCGTAGGACAAGCTAAAAAATTGTGTTGTCGCGAATTTTACGGTTTGTAAAGCCTTCAAATTTAGCGATGCAGCCAAACCTTTGTATTCCGCATGACCACGTCCACGTCCAAACATTACGTGAAGTTTGTTGGATCTTTTAATTAGCCTCTTTAAGAATACAGCTGACGCATCTTCTTCTCTTAGTTTTCCCATAACAAGATCTACCCAGTGAGAAACATCCCAAGTTGTAAGAAAAAATGGATCAGCTGGATGATCATTCTTTCCCATTTTTTCATACAGCGCATCCAGAAAGGTGTTAGCCTGGTACTGGCCGTCTGCATGAAACGCTAAAAATGTTAAAATGTTGAGCATTCTTGATTTTACAATATCGCTTTAAAATATCCCATACGACGTTAATATGTTTCACAAAACTCATTCGCTCCTGCACTTCCTATTACGACAAATATTTTTGACATACCTCTTACATATTCCATATCATCATCATTAAAGCCTAGCTTGTCCTTTATCACCGTCACCACTTGCTGTGCAAGGTCTTCGCCACTCCCACCTTGAAGATGAAAGTCTTCTTCAGTATTGCTATAATTATAAACAATCGGAGCATCTATTGGCAGAGCAACACGCTTTCCGTCAACAGGCAGGATGACCATTATAGCATGATTTGTTTCTCGGTGAGGTGTTGATTTGTCAGCAGCCAATGAAACATGTGAGATAAGAGGTTCCTGCAGGAATTTTTTGGTTTGTAGAATGATGTATTCATAGGCCACTTTAATGATCTCTGTGAATTGTTTGCTACAGTAGATGAAAAGAAAACCTTTTACTTTATGCGCATTAACTTCAGACTTTATGGTGATGATAGTTTGTAGTCTGCATGAATGCATGATTGTTTAAAATAAAATTTATCTGCAGCACTACAATATTTAGTTATCTAGTATATTACCGTCCATGTCCAATGTTTCCAACGTCTGCTCCACAAGATGATAGAAATCCTACCATTGTTTCATACGCTAATGCTGCAGCCTTCATTTTGCAAACGTGAATGCCTGCACTAACTAAATTAGTGTTGACATTAAGACAGCGAGCTTTAGTTTCCTTCTCTTTTATTGCATATTGTTGTGCCTTAAAGTGTTCCTGGCCACTACTTCGAGAAGAACTGCACCCAATGTGCTCTATTAATACATTCTTAAAATGGTACCATTGTTGGTTTGCTCCAGCCATCAGGCACTCTGCTTTCTCCCTCTCATACACTAATCCATTCCCCCAGGACTGATTACTTCGGCTAAATGCAACAAAAATGATATATACCTACATAAGATGTACTCATGTACAGTGTATTATGTAGGTATATAAGGTATCTTTAAGCAATTTCCTAATCACTACCACCTGCAACTACTACTAAATAATAAATAAAGTGATGAGAAAATAATACATACACTCTGTTTTTTGGTTGGGATATCATGTAATTTTTGCATGCCATACAAGTTATCTTGCAGCCGTCTTCCAACGTTTCTACGCAAATGTCAGGATGCTTAACTTCCATCAGGTTACATGCAGTTTTCAGGGTAGTCACATCGCAATTTACCCCATATGATATTTTGTTTGACTCGTTCACTGTTAATGAGCCAAGCTTAACCAAAATTTGATTAATATCAGATTGAATCTTTTCCAAAGCATCTGGCTGTTCTTTTTCTTCGACTGTAAAAAAACTTTCCAACGATTGTTGTACCGAAATTTCAGAAGATGCAGTATGAATGCCCTGAAGCCCCCTTTTTTCATGACTTGATGTGTCACAGGTTTGATCATTTGTGTCACAAGTGGTACTTGTCTGTTTGATATTTTTTGACAATTCGTAAGGCACATGTCCTTTCTCTCTGCCAGCAATCAAACTTCGTGGGGCATCTTTCATTTTGTTTTGTTCCTTTTTCTGTGATAGGAAATTTCTTGCTTTTTCATGGTCTCTTCTCACAATCATTTTGGAGTACATGTCTTCCTTTTCATTTTTATGTGCCTGTTCCCAATGTCGCTTCTTGTAATACTCTCGGCCACG